CTTCGCTGGATGATACGTGTAAGAGGGGGGGGGGTCTGGGACGAGGAGGCGAGCCCCGGGAAACTTGCGTTTAGATTTCAGAACTCCCAGAAGGACTTTTTCGCTCCAAACTTCACTGATAGATAAGTTGGGCCCAGCCACTGCAAGGTTATAAAATTCCGATACCCACCAATTTGAGGAGACGCTACCTTTGAAATGTCAGAACGTCAGATAAAACATACGTCAGGATTAGTATGGTCTTCCAGTAATGACTTTTCCGGCACATATATAGTATCCGGAGGAATAGGTTGCATCTGTACTGAAGGCGCATACGGCAACTCTCGAAGATTCTCGAACAATCGCGTCTGGAAGATACAATTTGAATTTACTAACTGCAGTCAAGGCTTTGACAAACCATCGTTTTCTCCAAATAATCCTGAGTGTTCTGATTTGTCATGTTAGATTTCTCGATGTGGAGTTTGAAGTCTGGTCCAAAATACTCGAAGTAGTCATTGTAAGGCAACTCTGTAAAACTTTTAGACTACCAAACAATTCCAAATTTGCGTAAAAGCTAACCATTAGCGATTTCAGTATCTACAGCTACGGATGTTTCGTAAGTCCAACATCTTGATACGTTTCGAATGGTGTATCCACCTCCTCCGACTAGCATGAGAGGGATCCCGAACTTCTTCAGAAATGCGACACATTTGCCATGGCCTGAAAATCAGCCATCAAAAAAGATCTACAGGATCTACAGGCGATCGTGCTAGACTCCTTACTCACCTTTCAAAGTAAGGTTGAAACAACCAAGACGATCTCCAGTGAGAGAATCAGCGCCACATTGTAGCACAATCGCACATGGTTGGAAGCTCTCCATGACCTTTTGTATGACTGGCCGGAAGATTCGCTGAAGCACCAAACAGATACAGAGAGTCATATCAAGAACAGGCTTACCTCGTAAGCTTCGTCATCTATTCCATCGCGAAGGGGGAAGTTGAGCGCGTAATATTTTCCTTTTTCAGCACCAATGTCCTGAAAATGCACTTATGATACACAAATGCGATAACACGCATTTTGGACCAAAGATGTGCATGATGAAAGCAAATTTTTCGCTTTGCGAACAGTAACGTAAACGCATTCTTTATGCAGCCAACGAGGTGGCAAGCACTTATGAATCCTCATGAAAAATTACCAAATATGCAAAACTTGTATCAAAACTTTGCATCTGACAAGATACTCACTTTCAGGTCACCTGTGCCCGGGAAATATTCACCATACTTGTGGAAGGATACAGTCATTACTCTGTCCGTTGTGTAAAAAGCTTCTTCTACCCCATCTCCATGATGTATATCTATGTCCACGTAAAGGACTCGCTAAAAAGCAAAGACTCTCTTTTTGAAGAGAATTGTGCAGTCATTACGTACCTGATGGTGCTTGAGCAGCTCCAAGATAGCCAAAACGATATCATTACTGTAGCAAAAACCACTTGCTTCACTCTTCTTTGCATGATGCAGACCTCCCATCCAGTTTATAGCAATATCAGCATGTTTGCGATTCAACTTTGTTGCAGCGGCTGTATGA